TGGCACTCAGCCCCATCTTGCGCAGAGTTGCCTCCTGCAGCAGCAGCAGCAGCAGCAGCAGCAGCAGCATCAGCAGCAGCAGTGTCCACAAGAGCAGAGCAGCAAAGCACCCGCTGCAGTAGCAGCAGCACCATCTGCAGCAGCAATAGCAACAATTCCAGAAGCGGCACCACCACCGCCACTTGCAGCCGCAGCAAAAGCAGCACCGCCTGCAGCAGTAGCACTTGCAGCAGCAGCAGCAGATTACATCAAGTGTTAGAAAAGCCTCATCGACGTAAATGAATCTTTTCCTATAGAACATTTCCTGGATTGCTTCCGACAAATCAGCAGCAGCACAGAAGGCCGTCACTTCAGTCTGCTGCATTGCTGCTGCTGCTTGCTGCCGTTTACGCTCTCCCCTCTCCTGCAGCAGCAGCAGCAGCAGCAGCAGCAAAGTTAATCCAGGATGCATGCGCCGAGTAGGGGCTGCAGGCAGCAACTGCGTCGCTTTTGCTTCTGCTGAACAGCTGTAATTGCTGCCGGCGGCGCAGCGCAGGAGGATTTGCTGCTGCTGCGTCCCGTGCTGCTGCTGCTACGCCTGCTGCTGCTGCTGCTGCTGCTGCTTCGGGGAAGCACCAGGAGAGCAGCACGCCTCTTCTCTTCCTCCTCCTACGAAATTCACAGAGCTGACAGCAGCAGCAGCAGCAATAGTACCTGCTGCAGCAAGGCAAAGACGGCAGCAGCAGCACTCAGGCAGCAACAGCAATCTCAGCAGCTAAGGCAGCAGCAGATGCAACAGCAACAGCAGCAGCAGCAGCATCAGCAAGAAGCTCCATAAGCTCACTTCTTGCTGACGCTTCCGCATTTCAATAATTGCCGCAGGGGTCACACCTGAACACAAGGGAATGCTGTTGCTGCTGTTGCTGCATTTGCTGCTGCTGCTGCTGCTGCGCTTTCTGTTGCATTTCTGCTGCTGCATACCTGCCAAGTTAGGTGTCTCCATAGAGAAGCCCCGCTCTTCAAGGGCCTTCATAATGCTGCTCAAGCCCTGCAGCAGCAGCAGCAGCAGTAGCAGCAGCAGCAGCAATCGCCAATCCACAGTGCACATCAGCAAGGGGGGCGGCAGCAAGGGCCAAAAGAAACGTCTGAGCAGCCGCAGCTGCTGCAGTCCAAGAAAGCAGCAGCAGCAGCAATACGAAGAGCAACAACAGCAGCAGCAGCAGCAACCTCCTCTGCAGCAAGCAACAGCCGTACCAGCTACACCAATACCCGCGAGGGCAGGAGCAGCAGCGCCAGCAGAAGCAGAAAGAGCAGCAGCAGCAGCAGCAGCAACAGACCTCCTCAGCAGCAACATGCATCGGCGTGTTGCCCTCGTGGTCTGCGCAGGCTTCAATATCCAGCTTTTTGCTTTTCAGGATTTCCAGAGCAGCAGCAAGCAGCCGGTTGGCCAGTGCGAGGTGACTGCAGCAGCAAACACACGCCGCTGTTGCTGCTGCTGCTGCTGCTGCCTCGGCTGCCGTCTGTCGCGGTGCCAGTGCAAACGAACGCAATTAGTCTCCTGCCATCGCTGCTGCTGCTGCTGCCACGGCTACTTTCAGCGCTACTTGTGCTACTAAAGCAACAATAGCAGCAGCAGCGAAAGCCGCTGCTGCTGCTGCTGCTGCTGCTGCTGCTGCTGTTGGACTGACAGTGGTGTGCAGCCCTGCGCGTCTTTGGCGTTGGGCGAGGCCCCCCGCTGCAGCAGCAGCAACGCAGTTTCTTCATTTCCCTCTTTGAGAGCCAAGTGGAACGCAGTGTCTGCGCAAAAGCAGCAGCAGCAGCAGCAGCAGCAGCAACTGATCAGCTGCAGCTACGCCGCGACGGGCCCCAGCGGCAGCAACAGAAGCGACGAGGGAGAGCAGACTGCACCGGCGGAAAACTTGTGGCTATGCAGCAGCAGCAGCAGCAGCAGCAGCAGCACCAGCAGTAACAGCAGCAGCGGCAGCAGTAACGCACCGCCGGCAGCGTTTGTTGCTTCGCGAGGAGCGCTTCTATTGAGCAGCAAGGCCACAACCTCTGTCTGGCCAAGCGCTGCAGCAGCAGCAACAGCAGCAGCAGCAGCAACAGCAGCAGCAGCAACAGCAGCACAAGGTGCATCAGCAACAGCCTCTAATGGAGGGTAGCAGCAGCAACTGCAGCAGCAGCAACTCCAGCAGCAGCAGCAGTGAAGCCGGGAGCGGAAGCAAGCCCACTGGCAGCCAAGTGCAGCGCCTGCAGCAGCAAACAGACGCAGCGAAGCAGCAGCTGACAGCAGGCTAGACGAGCGGCGGCGGCGGCAGCAGCAGCAGCAGCAGACAAAGCAGCAGCTGCTGCAGCAAACGCACATTGTTTTTCTCTTTGTCTGCTGCTGCGATGTCGCAGCCCTTGACACTCAAAACTGAAAAGGAAGCCGCAGCAGCACAAACACGATCCGGCTGAAGCAGCAGCAGCAGCAGCAGCAGCTGGAGCACTGGCAGCTGCACCAACAACAGTAGAACCTGCAGTAACAGCAGCAACAGCAAAGCAGCTGCAGCAGTGGCGGCTGTAGAAGCAGCAGCAATGGCAGCTGCAGCAGCAGCAACTTCAGTAGCACGTGCAGCAGCAGCAGTAGCAGCAGCAGCTGCAGCAGGTGCTGCTGCTGCTGTTGCTTCAAGAGTGGCTACAGCTGCACAGCTGCTGCTGCCAGCTGCTGCTTATGCGGGAGTCCGTTAGCTGGCAGCACATGCAAGGCTGCAGCAGCTGCTGCTGCAGAAGCTGCTTCTGACGTCGCTGCAGCAGCGAAAGAGTAGCAGCAAAATCAAAAGCAGCAGCTGCAGCAGCAGCAGCTGCAGCAGCAGCTGCAGCAGCAGCTCCAGCAGCAACAAACCTTGTCTAACGATTGCCGGGTCTCCTCGGCAGCCCGCGACCGCATGCAGAAGAGCAGTAAACCCGCTGTCTCTCTGCAGCACAAGAGCAGCAACAGCAGCAGCAACTGCTGCTGCAGCTCTAGCACAGCAGCACCAGCAGCAGCAGCAGGATCAGCAGCAGCAACACCAGGGCCAACAGCAGCAGATCCTACGGCCTGCGCTTCCCCTTCCCGCCCCCCAGCGCTCTGCTGCACCAAGCAAGCTTAAACAGAAGCAGCAGCAGCAAGGGCAGCAGCAGCGAGGCAGCAGCAGCAGCAGCAGCCGCTGCAGCAGCAGCAGCAGCAACTCACATCTGGAGCATTGATAAAAACAGCAGGGGACTCCAGCACCACTGCCAAAACGTCTGGGTCACCCTCTCGAGCAGCAATGTGCAGCGCAGACACTGCAGAGAAGCAGCAGCAGCAGCAGCAGCAAAAGCAGCAGCAGCAGCAGCAAGAGGAATTAGGGCAAAGAAGACGCATTTTCTGCTGCTGTTGATGGTGTGTCCCTGTCTCCCGAGCCTCTCTCCCCAGCTCCTCCCTGCTGCAGCTGCTGCTGACTCCTGCTGTCTCGATTGCTGCTGCTGCTGCTGCAGATGCTGCTGCTGCTGCTGCTGCTGCTCTGTCTCACTGCCCTTCTTGTTGAGCGCTGAGGGATCCGCCCCCTCCTCCAGCAGTCTCTTGACTGCATCCGCATCTCCCCGCAGCACGGCTTTTGCCAGTGCCTCTGTCATCTTAGGGTTTAGGGTTTAGGGTTTAGGGTTTAGGGTTTAGGGTTTACGCGTTGGGAGCTAGTGAGGAGACAGAGACATTTGGCGGCGAAACGCCGAATGCCCTGTCTACACTGAAGAAGCAACCGCAAAAAAAAATGAAGGTTCGGGTTTAGGGTTTGTGGTTTAAGGTGTAGGGTTTAGGGTTTAGGGTTTAGGGTTTAGGGTTCAGGGTTTAGCGCCCAGGGGCCCCACCCCCGACAAGGGGCTGGGCTGGTCCTTTGCTAGGCAGATAAACCCTAAACCCTCATTCATTAGTGTTTTGTCTCACCATGAGCTTTATTTTTGTCGCAGATTCCAAAAGCCTAAACGCCAAACCCTAAACCCCAAACCCTAAATCAGGGTTTTGAGTGGCCGCTGCTCGCAAGCGTGGCTGGGGGCTGTTGCTCTGGCCTTCTCCGCCCTCCCAATAAAATAGACAAAATAAATAAATAAAAGTAAATTAATTTAAATGATAAAGACAATAAATGAAAAATAAATCAATTTAAGGGTTTGCGAGGGTTTAGGGTTACGAAGTCGAGGCGAGGGTTTAGCTACTAGCGAATGAGTCGGCGGTCTAGGGTTTAGGAAAGCGAGGCGAGGCTTTAGAATGAATGATTAGTTTAGGGTTTAGGGTTTAGGGTTTCAGTAGTAGCTGCTGATATTGGCGTAGCAACACAGCCTGCAGCAGCGAGCGCTGCAGCAGCAGCAGCGCAGGCAACAGCAGCAGCAGCAGGACAGGCAGCAGCAACAGCAGCAGCAGCACAGGCAGCAGCAGTAGCAGCTGGTCCTGCTGCTGCTCCAGCACAAGTCGAACAGGAGCAGCGAGCTGGAGCTGCGGCATCTTCTAGCCCGGGTGCTGCAGCAATGCCTTCTCAAACCCTAAACCCTAAACTAGGGTTTTTTATCGTAGCTCGCCTACAGCTGTAGCGGCTGCTGTTGTGTGCAGAGTCGCAGCCTTCCTATCATAATCGGCAGCAGCAGCAGCAGCAGCAGCAGCAGCAGGAAGGAGATAAGCATGAATATCAGATAAAATGTATTAATTTAAAATTGGCTGAATTGAATTAAATGTAAAAATGCAAAAAGTTGTTTAGTGCATTTAAAATGGATCTTTGAATTTCAAAAAAGTATTTCTTTTTAAAACATTTCTTTGCATGCTTTGCAGCAAAGAAGCAGAAAAAACATTTTTAAAATGCCATTAAAAGCCTCTTTTATATTTTCCGCTTTTCTTCATTTGCAATCTTTTAAAAATGCAAAATTTTAAATTTAATTTTTTCGTTTTTATTTTTTGCATGCGCATGCATTGCCAGGTGTACGTACACCTGAGCAGCAAACACCTGCAACGAAGAAAAAGTAAAATGTTTCTTTTGCAAAATGAAATAAAATGCATGCAAAAAGGAAAAGGGTATTTATTTAATTAAACGCATTTTATTTATTTTCACTTACTTCTAAATTGAGTTTGTGGCAGTGCAGATAAACAAATTAAGTTTTTAGAATTTGTTTAGTCTGAAGACACAACTTTAAAGACAATATGCATGCACGCTGCCGGCTTGCTGCTAGCCCTCTCGGCGTCAGCAGCAGCAGCAGCAGCAGCAAAGAAGCCCCAGAGAAAAGGGGACAAAAGAAGCAGCAGCAGCAGCAGCAGCAGGCATAGCAGCAGCAGCGGCAGCAGCAGCGGCATTGCTGCTTGCTGCTGCTGTATGCTGCTCCCACGCAGTCCGCCGCTGGAGACACAGACAGAGAGAGCAGCAGCAGCAGCAGCAGCAACTTGGCGTTATTGCTGTTTGCTGCTGCTGCGTGCTGGACTCTGGCTGGGGGCTGCAGGAGCTGCGGGGACACCTGAGGAGCCCAAGACTTCTGCCGCTAACTCTTCAGCTTCTTGAAGCAAACTGCCTGCAGCAGCAACACATTGGATGGAGACAGTAAAGCAGCAGCAGCAGCAACA